CTGTCACACCAGCCACGAGTGATGGTGTTGTTTTCTTCTTTCTAGGAGTCAAACTGACCCTGTCAGCTTTGATCGATGGGAAGAACTTCAGCGCTGGAGGCCATAAGGTTGGGCTGGGATTTGAACTGGAAGCTTAACGTGATTTTGAGTAAAGCCTTGGATTTATCCTTGCAAGTGAAGAGAAACAAACCCGCTATGTTCTGGCCTTAAAATTCTGTGAAATTTTAAAAGTGTGAACTTTTTATTCTTCCAAAGAATTGTAATCCTCCTCACACTGAATTCAAGAGATTGCAAGTCCATCCTCCAGGTTGTTCAGAAGGCAGGCCTGGAAATTGTCGTGTTTGTGCCACATTCATTGAGTTCCGCAGTGTTAATTGAAGTGTGTTCCTTGGCGACCGTGTAGTGTCATGGTAAAGGAATGGCGCGACCCCCGGGTTTGTACATTGCGTCCTGCATGTCCCACACCACTTTTTCATGGTGTTTTAATATACTGGTCTCTGTGCTATAGTAGAATCTTTAGTTTTGCATCAGAGTAAAATAAAATAAACCATCACACTTGGAACATAATTGCTTCATTGTTTGCTGGTGGTGGCTTTTTCGTATGTACTGTGATTGGTTTTATAGGCGGCCAGGTCTGCCATGGTGTGTGAGAGCAGTCTGTGGTGTTGCCTGCACTCTGCGTTGGCTTCCTTGCTTGGTCTCTAATGACGGAGCAGTGAGTTCTGTCCTGCCGGGGAGCAGCATAGCTGCTGCATAACTTCCCATCCTGCAGTGATTAGGTGGTGGCCTGTTGGTAGTTTTATAAATCTGAGAAGTGAGGGTGATGGAGGCATGGTGGTACTCACCTGGAACCCCAGTGCTCGGGAGGCCTCAGTAGGAGGGACCCTGTGGGTTGGAGGTCAGCCTGGGTCATACTGAGCTCAAGACCAGCCTGCACTATGTAGCAAGACCCTGGCTAAAAAAAAAAAAAAAAAAAAAAAAAAAAAAGTGGAGTTGTGAGTGGGTAAAATAGCGGGGCAGAGGGACCAGAACAGTTAGGGGAAAGAGGAAAGGGAAGTGTGTGGGTAGGAAAGGGTCAGGGCAGGGGAAGGAGGCATCTATGGCTCCTCAAGGGCTTGGGAAACATTTCTGAGCAGTAGATCTAAAAACATGACGACCAGAGAAGAAAGTACTGGTTTAGGAAAGAAATCAGACTCCTTAATCCCTGACGGCTTTTCAGCTTCTGAAAATCTCTTGTAAAACACAAGATATATATTGGAGTTTTAGCAAATTCAGACAGTTTAGGAGCAAATTAAAGATGAAAGTCCCCAGTTCCTCTTTGCAGTCCCCATCCCTTAAGTGCCCCTCACAGGTTGGTCTGTGTCCTTGCAGATGTTTCCATGTTATTAGTGATTTCATAAATAAACTATATGTCCAGTGGTATAGTGCATCTTGTGGTTGTCACATACTTTTAACACTGGAGTTCTTTTTGTTCATATATTTGCATGCATTTTTTATTTAATGCCTTGGTATAAATGGGACGTAATTTATTTAACCATCCTGGGCTTGCATCCTGCCCTGCTCGGCAGCCCTAAAGCAGGTGCTGCGGTGTGCGCATGCGCAGTGCCCTTGCGCTCCGACTTGGCGCAGGCCCCCAGGTGCTTCTTAGGGTCCCGCCGCAGAGACAGTAGTGACCGATGGGGCAGTGGGAAGGGGACGAGATAATGGAACGCCGTTTTTTAAGAAAACGTGAAGGGATGCTCAATAGCAGAAGGAGAGGGAGCTGCGGTAGTGCTCGTGAATGTAGGAGGGGACTGCCCCCACGAGCCACTAGACTTTGGGCGCGTTTCTCGCAGGTGACTGGGGAGAGGAGGACCCCTGGGGGCGCCGGGCGGAGGGTCGGGGAAGACGGAGTCCTGTCCCGCAGCGGACGCCTCTGGGCAGCGAGTGACTGCCAGAGGTCATCGGTGCTGCGCGCTGGGGTGGCAGCCGAGCTCTGCTGGGCCTAACCCGCTTGGCCTGGTTGCGCAGATTGTAGAGTACACTTGGTGCCGGCACCGTCATTGTCGCCACCTCCTCCTCGCCAGGCGTGGCCTGGACACCACTGCGGACTCCCTCTGCGCGCCCGCCCGAGGGCTGCTGTTCCCCTGCATGGAGGTGGCGTTCACATCTAGCCTTGCCCTCGCTTCCGCTGGGTGTGGTGTTCGTGGGACACAGTGGGAGTACCGACCGCCTGCTCCGCCCGCTCCTGGCTCTTGGGAGCACGAGGCGCCCTCTGCCAATCCCGGGATCAGGATGGGCTGAGGAGCCCTGGTCCCCTTCCCTTAGAGCTGGTCTCCACCCAGGAGCAGCGAGAGCTCCCAGCCTTTACCTTCAACCGCCTGTCTCCCTGGCTTCTTAGCAGCTGCTGATCCATTTTCTGGACAGCCGGCTGCACTGCCCCGGTTCAGGGCACCCACCCCGCCCTCAGACTGCCCTCTCTCTGCCCCCACCTGACTGCAGTACTGGGCTCCCCTACCGTTTGCAGAATGAATGCAAGTGGGCCTGCTCCGCATAGTCCTAGTTCTCTGTGAGATCAGATGCACAGATAATTCCTAGCATTTCTTGCATGATAAAACTAACGTTTTGTAAGGTGACGCCTCCCATCAGTGGCACAGGACCTGGCAACCATTGGGGTCGTGGCCCCCTGCTTCCTGCTCTGAGGCCCTCAGGCCTCTGCTTTTGGCCTCCATTTCTAATTCAGCCTCTGCCTTGGGAAAGGAAAGGACATTCTGCAGTCTAGTGACTGGAACCCCTCTGCTGCTGAAGTGGCACTGCTCTTGCCACACTGCTGTCCCTGGCGTGGACCTCTGCAGTCCTCTTGATTCCTGGGTTTCCTGTGGAGAGACAGTCAGCCTCTCCCTGCCTTGCAGGACTGCTTTCTAAGTGTTAGTCACCTTCACCGTGTCCCTTCTCCACACCTTCCTCCCAGATGCCTAAAATTTAAAAATCTTTATTATAAAGTTCATTTTTTAAACCACTGGTTTCCCCCTAAGCTTGGAGCAGCTTTAGTTGTGGAGAAAGCCAAGTGGGACCGCAGAAGTGCAGGCGCTTATGCGGCTGAACTAAATCCCAAGTCCCTTATTTTACATTTTTAAAATAATAATAAAGGATGATGTGTTGTGAAGACGTTGAAGAGATGACAGTTTATTATGAACTGCTTGGCAGCTTTCTCCAAGGCTTCTGCTCTCAGTCTCCACTGAGCAGGCAGGTAGCCCACTCTGGTGTTTCTCAGCTCTGTTTTTTCATATTTGTTTGTTTGTTTTTAAGCTAATTTTCCTGGTACACGTTAGATACACCTCATGATCACAGTCATCACCAGAAATTTGCACCACAGATCTTGATTCACTGTTTGTCTGATTCTTCTCCCTTCCTTAAACACACAGTCTTGCTTCCATTCTTTTCCTTTGCTTTCTTGTACCTTCCTTTCCTCCTCCCTTCCCCTTCCCTTTCCCATTTGAACATTTTCTTCCTGCTGCCCAAATCTGTTTTACATTTTGGTCCTTATTTACACTTTTGCTTTCTCACACCAGGAAACAATAGGATATTTACACATATGTGTCCAGTGTACTTCACTGAAGAGGATGGTTTCAGGGTGCATCCATGTTCCTGGAAACGCCTCAGTGTTATCTTTTATGGCATCTGGTTTACGTTTTATTCCTTTTCTTCACCTGATTTCACGCTGTCCTAGGAGCATCCCTCCTGAAGGGAGGCATAAACAACAGGTGGTGAGCAGCCACTTCCTTCCCCGGGGAAGCAGGACACGTTTACGAAGCTTGTCTTGGGCCAAGCCCTGGAATGGTCCTTTTCCACACACACCCCTGGCCACTGAGTCCTCAGGATGCTGAGCCAGCCTCGCGGTCCCCATGTGAAAATGGAGCTGACAGCGGTTTTGTGGCCCAGGGTCACCTTCTACAACCTGAGGTCAGGTTGCAGACCTAGGAAGCTGCCCTCCAGCGGTAAGCCTGGACAGATGCAGCAGGACTCTGCAAAAATCCTCAGAAAGCTCCCTTTTCGGGCCTTGCTTTATAATTGAGTAAAATCCTGATTCCATCCATCTTTACACTCAACACTTTGTGAACTATGGGGTGGTTTTTAAAATGTTCTTCAGAATTCTGCAACTTAACAATTGTCACTTAGGGGGAGTGGGAAAGCCTTGTTTTAAAAGTTGCCCTGTGAAAGTGAACAAATGTGTGTATATGGCTGCTCAGAAATGCAAATCCTCAAGACGTGCACTAGAGGGCATCGCTGATTTCCAATAGCACCCAGGCGGCCTCCCGTCCCCTCCCCTTCGGAGGTCTGGGAGAGGTGACAGCTGTCCCTCGGGCTGCAGCCCGGGCGGACCCTGCAGTTTAGACTTTTCCTTCAGGGGTCTCGCTGCCTGGCCGCCCCATGGCCTGGAGGTGGTTTCTAGGCTCCCACTCCACTGCCTCCTTCTAATAAGCTCCTCCCTCCTTGTAGTCGGTTTTGGATTCCACATACTGAGGAGAAGATGTGATACTCAGCGTTCTGAATCAGGCTGATTTCCCTGGACATGAAGATCTCTAAATCCATCTATTTTCTTGCAGACAACAGGATTTGAGCCCACTGCATGTGGATGTTTTAGGTGTGCGGGCGGCTCTGAACCTTCTGTGTACCAAGGAGTGGCCCACAGCCGGGGTCACTCAGGGGCTCTGCCTTTAGGGTTTAAGGAGCCTGCAGCAAAGCCCACAGTGGCTGATTATCTTTCCTCCAACAGTGACGCAGGGGTTTCATTAGGCCCCCGCACCCCCCCAAAAGCCAATATTTACTGGTTTTGTATTCTTTTTTTTTGGTCTTTTTCCTTTTTATCCGTACCGGGTTTTATATTCTTGATGAGAGCTTTTCTGACGGGGTGGAATCTGTCTCAGTGTGGTTTTGAGTTCCATTTCCCCATAGCTTTCACTTTTGTGGAAATTGAAAGAAAAACATGAAGATATATAAAAAAGACTTCAGAGGCAAACTTATGAGGGGCATTTTTTAAATTATAAATTTAATATGGTTGATTAATGAAAAATCACAATGAAGTACCAAGAAAATGTTTGTCAATATAAAAATTTTAGCAGCATTTCCATAGTTTGAGGCTCTAACATTAGTCAGACTTCTTCCCTGTCCCTATCAGAAGGGAAGAATCCAGTGGGCTACAGAAGCGCGTCAGGATGCAAAGGCCTCAGGAAACCCTCAAACCCAGTGCGCTGTCCAATATTCCCTGAGCTCCAGACTTCTGCCATGTCAAAGTGCATCAAAAGCCTCGCCGACTTTAGTGTCTGAGACAAGAATTCTGTGTTGTGGGCTGCAGGGCAGGACAGGTAGGAACGCAACTGGACTTGCTTTGTAGTGCTTCTCACGCATCCTTCCACCAGTACCTTCTCCACGCTGGTGACAATATAAGGCCACGGGGGGGGGGGGGCTGAGGGGATCTGGGTGTGGCAGCATGGCACTGCCGTGGGACGAGGCAGGGGACCCAGGGTGACACAGCTGTGAGGCACGGCTGGTCCTGCTCCCCAGGCATCGGGGGTGAACTTAGGAAGGGAGACGGATGAAATGAGGCATAACACTGGCAAACTATTCCCCTGCTTCTTTGGTACTTTCCAAAATTCTCTGCTCAAAAGGTATAAGGGAACCACACCATTAAAAAAAAAATTACAATTTTAAGTACTGTATTTACAAAAGCAACTATTATCTATTATACAATAGTAATACACAGCATCTGAACACACTTCCCTCTGAAAGCACTGGTGACCTCGTCCCAGTGCCAAAAGCTGCCCCTATGCATAATTGCCCAAGTCTGTTTGTGTATCTCGCTCATCTTGTGTACATTAAAAAGGGAAAATAGTTGTAAAAAAACTGTTTCCAACCCACACTTTCCTTTGTAGCCTTAACATTTGCCACTGAAATCATTATGTACATGATTCATTAATACTGAATTCTAGGCAGTAATCTCCTCTCCCATTTTGAGTATATTTGACACGCTACCTATGCTATGTGCACAATGTATATGTAATCTATAAGTGACTGTGCCACCTTGTATCACCTCAAGAGCAGTGTAGTACACAGTACTATGTACAGCAGTTCTGTGAGCTCTGCTGCCACCGCTGTGGCCTGGGGGGCAGCGGCCCGCAAGGCAGGCGTGTGACGCACACTTGCGCAGGACGACTCTTTAGCAGCTCGCTGGTTGGGAGATGATCACACGTGCGGAAGGACCCCGTACATAAGCAGAGCCATAATAGCAGCGCTAAACAGCCCGGCCACGGGGACAGTCACGAACCATGCCACGAAGATGTTCCGGAAGAGGCGCCAGTCCACGGCCTTGCGGGAGCGGATCCAGCCCACGGCCACCACTGAGCCCACCTGCGGGGGCACAGACGGTTTCAAGTAAAAATAAGGCTGGCAGAGGTTTAAAGGTGAGGCCCAAAATCTACAGGCGATGACAGCAACAGGCTGAGCACCCAAATAAATGTTATAAAACTGCCATTCTTATAAAGTTTGTTTTAAAAAGTTTTAGATTGTGTATGTGATTAAGGGTTATTCTATTCAATATACAGTTCTGATATACTTTTTCACCACTGTTCTGCACTGTCCACAATAAATCATGAAATGCCAGTCAGACACGTGAATGTCAGAACATCAATAATGATCCACGTATTTTTCTAAAAACTTCCAGCTCACTGATGTGGTTTTTTTAATTTTAAAAAGGAAAAACAATGTAATTTTATCTTGAAAATGACTGCAACAGGCAAACAATGCCCACACCACCTTGAGCCGAGGGCTGGGTAAGGTGCCCCCTCCCTTGTGTGAGCTGGAGTCTGAAGAACTCCATGAGATACGCTTTGTTTCTTGTGATCTCCAACTACTTAAGAATTAGCAGTGACCAGTGAGATTCAAATAGGTGACCTAAAGCATCAGCAGCATAACAACAGAAAAATAAAACCCAACATCAGTTTCATATAGAAGCAAACTGAATACCAAAGAATGGCAGCATCCAGCCCTCTGACCCACACCAAGATGACTGGCAACTTCAGCACCTGCCTGCCAAGTGTGTGGTTGTGAGTTCAATTCCCCCGTGCCAAAAAAACCCCAAAACAAAACAATAAAAATCACCAAGTCTTTCAAGAAATTAAACAACCAAGATTAGAAGTTCCATTCAACCCAGCTATTACCCTTTTGGGTATTTTCCTAGAAGAATTAAAAACATCATACCCCAGTATATATGTGCACCCATGTTTATAGCAGCACAACTTGTAATAACTACATTTTGCAAACCACCAAAATGCCCATCAAGTGAGGAATGGATAAAAAAGATGTGGTTTTTTAAAAAAAATATAATTGACTACTACTCAGCCATAAAAAGACAGACTTGAGACTATTATAACTAAATGGATGCAATCTAAGTCCATACTTGTAAGTGAAATAAACCAGACCCACATGTGTAAATGTTGTATTTTCACTAATGTGAGAATCCAAAAGAGTAAACAAGATCCCAAATGTACAACAGATATTGTGACTCGGGAAGAAACTGCTCAAAAGAATAGAACAACTGATGGGAAAGGGAAAGGAAGGGAAAAGAAAAAAAAATATATATATATATATATACATATATATTTATAAAACACAAGGCAGTTAAGACAATTACCGAACTGGTTTCTCTTGGTTCCTTGACGGGAAGGTTTTGTGCCAGTAATTTTTATGGACAATGCTTCCTGTCTGTATCTTGTGCTATGAACAACTGCTATGAAGACAGCAGTGTGCAATATAATTGTTATTCTCCTAGTAGCCTGTTTTGAAACTTCTATTATTATTTCTTACTTTTTTTTCTGTTGAAAATAAAAAAAGATCAAGTCCACAGTGATTAGCCTGTGAGAGCAAGTTCTTGCTGTCTTGTGTGGAGCTGCCACGCACGAGCCCAGGCTCTGCTGGGGGACTCAGACTGCTCTGCACCTTCTGCCTGTCCCAGAAGAGCCAAGTAATATGGACCTGTGATGGCCAGCATTTGTGTAGGAAGGACGAGGGCACCCAATGCTGCCACTGCCATGTGCACACACCCCTTTCTGGCCTTTCCTTAGGGGGCGGCACAGCCTTTATGAAGGCTGCGTGCCATGGTGATGTGCTTTAATTTCAGGGTGCCTCTGAGTCCTCACTATCAACATGAGTTCCATCTTTAATGCATTCACTCATAGGGCTTATATTCAGACTTAAAATTAATGTCCCCTGAAACACAAAGTGAAAAGGAGCCTTTAAACAATGTATTTAGTATATGTTTGTGACACATAATAATTACATGCATCTCAGGGAACAGTTACATATACTTATCCAATCTAGATCATTTTTATATAACTTGAAACAAAATGTACAACAATTTCCATATATGCTCAACCCAAATTCACTAATTTTAACGTCTTGCTACAGTTTGTGAGAGACATTTTAGTATTTTGCTTCTCATCAAATCTTTTTCCTTTCTGCTAAAGGTTAAGTAATCAATTCAGTATTATGATGGCAGCAAAATGGGTACTTACCAATGTCCTATTTCTCACACGGATAAAGAGGGACAGCTCATTTTTCTCAGTGTGTCTTAGTATCATAACACAATGTGCCTATATAATGTCATCCATAATGTGTGAATTTCTGCATGCCCTAAGTCTCCTATAATGATCTTGCTAACCAATCAGTAAAAGGCGCATCATGTCTTAATTTGCATATCCTTACTTATGTAGTGGTGCCAGGCATGGAACCCAGAGCCTGGGCACAGTGAAGCATCCCACCACTGAGATACTGCCTTTACCCATTTCGGGTATTTTTAAGTATAAGCTAAGGCTGAATTTTTTATTCATCCAGTTCCGTTCCCCCTAGTTTTTAACATATAAAAACTGTCTTTCTGTATTTTGTTCATTTATGTTATTGGAATTAAACATATGTTTACAAGTGATCATTAGTGAATGATACCATCTCAGTGGTATCTAATATAAATGTTAGTCTAGGATCTTGCTTTGTTTCACTTTTGAGTTTCTAATTTTGTGCAATAAAATCTGGTTTTCTTCTGTAATTTAGCCTTAGCTTGCATATATGTCATGTACATAATTCTAAATTTTCTAACACAAAATTCTATTTTACCCTCAATTTAGGAGTATTTCTAAATCATTAGAACTTTGGAGACCTGGGGTCTAATTTTGATTGCGTAGACTGATAGTCAACTATCTGATGTCATTTACTGGATGCATTTTTTTTCCCCACCACCTACTAACGAGGAGCATTTTTCTTCCTCAAAATAAATGCTCACATTTGACAGATTTACATCTCCCGGCTCCTAACTGTTCTTATACAGTACCCACTGCCTTATTACTGTGTAAGACATGCAGTTTCGGTTTTGATCTGGAATGTGCTGGAAGGGCAGTGCCTGTGAGACGCATGCACTGTGACGGATGTGCCCGCCTGCTGCCGAGGCATAGTGGCGTGGTCACAGGCAGGACACTGAAGACTGCAACTTGTCCTGGGCTTGCTCTCTTCTTGCCTCCTGTTTGCCTTGAGGCGGCCACGCGACCGTGCCACAACCCCCCTGCCCACTGCTCGGCCCAACCTGGAGGGAGACAGCAGCGCCTGAGCCACGGGCCTGATCTGCTGAAGCGGTCAGCCAAAATCAGTTATTCTTCCTTTATTGTGCTTTCCCTGCGGTGCAAAGCTGACAACAGTCACCACTGTCATGTTTTCACCTAGGCACGGCAGCAGCGTGGCGCACACTATCAAGGCCATGTGATCTCCACCACCACTGTCTCCACTGTTCCCATCACCCAGACAGACTCTTCACTCACGAGTCACTATGGAAACGGTCAGGAGCTAGGAAGTAATGGGTTGAGTAAATTAAAAACAGTGAAGAGGGGAGAGAAGAGAGCCTGCCCTCTATCTCTATAGTACCTTTTAACTTTTTATACTCTATGAAGTATGCTAGTTTCTTCTCATCACTTTTCTTTCTAGATCATTTTGTATTCTTGATAATTTATTCTACCAAAATAATCTCGTTTTGTTAAGTTCTAAGAAATATTGTGCCAGGGGTATACTGTATTGGGGAGAACTGGAATTGCTACAAAACCTAGTTTTCCTATCTTATCCAATAGTAAATCTCCTAATCAGCTCCTTGTTTATACTTCTCAGCGAAGTTCAGGGCCTTGTGTGTCTATCTTGTAACATAATTGTTACGAGGATTCTCTTTTTTGCTGTAACTAGGATACTGAAACATTTTTATGCCATTTTCTGATTGGTGACAGTTTTTTACATTTTGTCTTGGATTTGGTCATTTTTCCTCCAGTGTCTGAAGATGTGAGGATTATCTAGTGTCTTTCTGGGTATGGGTCCCTGGGATCACCATCTAGAATGGGTCTAAAGCATACCACATCTGACAACGTCCATTGTCCATCTTGGGTCATCTGTCGAGGTCCTGTGAAGCCAGGCCTGTGTGGCCACCGACTGGGTGAACAGTAATTTAGGAGGATCTATATGGTCCTGCTGATACATTAAAGTTTTATATACACATTCATAGGTAAATACGCCTTTTATTGTTTGGGATATTTTAAATTTGGTTTTGGTATGAAGCTGTTCTGTGTCTGCCCTGTGGAATGAACTGGAGAATTTCCACTTTGTTTTGCTGTTTTCCACCTACACTGTGGAAATGTTTAAATAAAGTGAGAATTATGTTTTTCAAATGGAAAAGACTAATGAGTTAATCTAGAATAGGTGTCAGATGTACCCTGTCGATCTGGCTTCTGGATAATTTCCTTTATTGCTCTGGTCAGGTTTTCCATTTTTCCTACTGACAGAACACACAGATTGTACTGTTATCACGGCAGCTGTTTCCACATGGACAAGCTGGTGGCGCTAGCATACCTGCCCCATGCAACATGACCACCCCATCCATGGATTATTCTCCTCATTCAACCTGAAACTCATGCCAGGTGGTATTTCTCTGTCATCCATATTTTTGCAGAAAAGAATTCATTTCACAGATACTCTCAAACCCGGGGCTTATAGCTGTGTAGTTTCTTTGGTAATGTAAACAGCTCAAGCCTGGCTCAGGTGGTACCTGCAGTGAAGGCTACTCAGAGGCAGGAAGCTCTCACGAGCCCACAGTGGGAGGCCAGCTTGGGCTACCACCAAGATCTGGTCTTGGTAAGAGTAAAAGACAAAAACTTCCTCTGTGTCTGTTCACAGCATGTCTTTCTTAATTCCTCTTTTTTTTTGATGTAACTGCATATATTTTTAATCACTGTCCTTCGCTGTTTTAAAATTTATTTTACTTTCAGATTTCTTTTATCCTTAAATTTCCTTAGTTTTTATTGTTCTGAATGCTTTGTAAAACCCTAATTTGATTATTTGCTTATTTTCCCTTTGAGGTTTTTAAAGGTATGAATTACCTTTTAAATCCCAATTAAGGTTTTTAGAGATATGAATTTTCATTTTATCACAACGTTGACTGCTACAGGTTTTGCTATGTGTATCCACAGACAGATATACATATAGACACCATCAGTCTTTATTAATTTTCAAGAAAGTGATCATCATATTCTTTGGAACTCCCTGATTAAATGTGAAAAGACCACTGAAGAGCTGGCGTGGAGGGTGGCACGCACTTGCAGTCCCAGCTCACTGGAGGACAGTGCCAGAGGATCCTGAGTTCAAGGCCAGCTTGAGCAACTTAGCAAGCTCCATTCCAAGACAGAACCAAGAATCAGGCATGTGGCTCAGCATGCCCACACTCAGCCCTGGAAGCTACTGACAGCCAGCACGAGAGCATTAAAAACTCAAAGGTGATGCATACTTCTTTCAAATCTTAAGTTTCTAACTTCATTTCCATGTCTGTGGAAAACGTAACTTCTGCTTTTAAAAATTTATAGATACTTATCATGGTCCCCTGAATTTATGATTTAATTTTTACAAATGTTTTTGACACCTGACATCAAACATGACAGGTAAAAATCCAAAACATATGTATTATATTCTGCCTCAAATATATTGTTTACATATGCTAGCCTTTCTCTACTTCATTCATGGCAAGCTTGGCTAACAGCTTTGACTTTATTTTATTCTATAAAATAATAATAATAAATAAAAGTAATCTGGCACATGGAAGCTGCGGAGCGTCAGGCTTCCATGCCAATGCTGGCTCTCGCTGCAGAAATCGGGGTTCCTCGCTCTACCTGGACTTCCCTCTGATGGCCTGAGTGTGAATTGCTGCTCAAAGCCCTGGTCAGGAACAAACAGCAACAGTGTTACTACAAGCATGGGAATCAGACAGCATGAGTGAAAAAGATTAGAAGAGATCGTTCTGTTTTAAACTCCATGTTTCCTACACGTAGTTCCACGTGGAAAGCTAGGTGGAACCATATACATCATCAACAGAGACTGATGAAATTCACAGAAGAATACGGGCAGCCTCGCTAGATACAGAATGGAAGATGCGAGCTCGAGCCCCAATTGAAGGGCCCGTGGATGGGCGCTGGTCCTCAGCTGTCACTGGGTGCTTCCAATTAGGGCTGATGACAAAAAGCAGATCCAGGCTAACAGAAATGAACCACTAGCAAGATGTGTGTGTAAACACACGTCTGAGGCTCCTTTTGCTATCAAGGCTGGTTTCCATTCTTTAGTAAAGGATTGAACTTAATCAGAAGCCTTAACCCATGACAATCTAACACACTGCTCTCTGACACAAAGTACAGAACAGAGGGGTATGACTTGGGAGCGCAAAGCTGGTAATCAAAGCGCACTGTCCTACAGGTGCTTCTGGAATAAAATGTGATAATACTTTTTTTAGTTGTCATTTTTCATATTATACATTCAGCTAGCACTGGCATCAAAACAGAGTAGGACAAAATTTAAACTACACGCTTAGCTCTGTGCATTCAGCAGGGAATATAAACCAATGAAACCTATCTAGGCACACTGGAAGCTCATTTTAAATAGTTTCCATGTTTCCTATTTCCCAACCTCTACTCTCCTTCTGATGAATGATAAACTTAAAAGTCAATCACAAGAGGAATATTCTGCAAATCTACTGTGATTGGGTTAGGATGTATGTGGACGTCCAAGCTGGCCCTGCTCCCGCACCCCCACTCTTGATGCCTCCATGTGTGGCAATAGGTCCTGTTACATGGAGAGGAAACATGAGTTGGCCGCAGTGGCCCCCAGCATCCTGTCCTCCGGGGTGATGCCAGGGCTCCACGCCACATGCTATAGGACTCTGTGTGTCCAAAGTCCATGTCTGTGGCATCAGCCCACAGCGTAGGGTCCCACCAGAGAGTATGATTAATCATTACAGAGGTGACCAAAGCTGTCTCTTCAGGAGAGTTAAAAGCCTTTTCCATGAAAAGACTAATTAAAAAGCATCATTTCTCTTCTGAGTTTGCCTGGTGTGGTGGTTAGGGTGGAGGGCACTTTGTGTTCTTCGCACTTTGTACTGCTTGAAATGCTTCCGTGAGTGTGTCCTAGGTGGTTTTATTTTACTTTTTGTGGTGCCAGGGAAGGAATCCACTGCTTCACCATGCAAGGCAAGCACTGTCCCCTGAGCTGCAGCCCAGTCCCTTTGGGATCATTTTAATAACCCAAATGCAAACAGTTTCCACCGTTGAGTGGGAGTGATCTGGGTCCCCTCCACCCCTTCCTCCCTCCTAGACAGCAGAGTTCGGGCCATATCTCTGTAGCAGCTCCTAGGACCATGGACATCTGCCATCTCCCGCAAGCTGGCCTCGGGGAGCACTGGCTCTCACCCCAAAGGTTCCCGTGACACTGACCTGAATTAGTATCCCAGGGCACTCGCTCCAGTGCAGCAAATATGACTTGGTGTGACTGTGGCGAGGCTATCTCGGTGACAACAGGAGTATCCTGGACGAGAACAACCTGAGGCCACTCCTGTCACACGCTAGCTGCAGGACCTCTGGAAAGTGACCTAATTCTGCAGCCTCAGTTTTTCTCCTCTGCACACTGGGGATAACTGACAGTGTTGCAGAGCCTCGGTGGAAAGCAGGTGTCTTGTTTGCAGAAAGCAGCGCCAGGCCCACCGCATCCTCTCTGCAAGCACTAGTGATAACTGACGTTTTCCCATATATGGTAGCAAAGGAGGCAGGAGAGCCATGACCCTGGTTTCCCAAGAGGTTGACCCTGTTGCTGTGTGTTAGCCCTGCTGGCCCAGATATCTAGCATTCAGAGGGCTCTGATCTTTCATCCAGCACAATGCTGGAGGCTGGGGGGCTGCAGTGAACATGCCCACCTGTGGCTGTGAACTCCGCTGTGTCTGCGACAGTGGCTCAGCACAGTGGGGGCTAGTGAGTGTGGCTCTCGGATGTTGTCTTTGCTTTCTGAGGATGTGGAGCATTTCCGTGTGCACGAGGCACTGAACGACACCCAACACCGGACTTCCTCCCCAGCTTTATTCAAGCTGGCTTTGAAGCCCTGCAATCCAAAGTCATGCAGCCCCTCCTACTCCAACGCCATCGCTGTGTGTGCAGCGGATCCTGGCAGCAGTTACCCGTCCACCAGGATCCACTCCCAGGCAACATCATTGCTCTAAACATCACTGAAAGGACAAGCTGAAACCCTGTGTTTGGTCCCCTCCCTCACCAAAGCGCCAGAGCTGAGCACTGCCACCAGACAATGTGGAGGGTGGGGCTTGTGTGACCTCAGTGCAAACTCCAGGCCTGGGGAGTGAGACGGCACAGACCCCAAGAACTAATGGCACACACACACACGCACACGTGGAGGCCCGGTGCTGGCACCTGAGAACACTGTTGGGTATGGTCGGCCCCAAGGACCTTCAGGGGGAGGGGGACCAACGCCACACCTGCCCCTGGTGCCCTGGACACTTCTCTCGAAGCAGCCACATGGAAAGCACAGCGTTTTCACCCACCTACCTTGCAGTGTGTCGTGCTGATGGGCAGCCCGATGTTGGAGGCGATGACCACTGTGAAGGCTGAGGCCAGCTCGATCGTGAAGCCGCTGCAGGAGGACACAGGAAGATGCATTATGGCCACTCTGCACCGCCCCAACACTGTGCACGCCCAGTCCCTCCCGAGACGCTGGGCCTGATAGACACAGGCCGCAGTGAGTCATAGCATGGCCAAACCAGTACCGCCCGTCACCCGGTCACTCGCTGTCCCTGAGTCCAAAATCACACTCTGCAGGCAGCTGGGGCACAAGCTCCTGCCATCATGACGTGCTCCTTTTAATGAATGGGAAAAGCTATGCACTCATTTTTACAATGTGTGATTATAAAAAGATGAATTTTTCTCAGGTGATTAATTTTGCTTCAAATCAGTCTTTTGTTAAAATGAATTTCAAGGAGGGGGAAAACTGAATAAAAAGGAAATGGACACTTCCAAAGTTTTAACAAGATGGGGAAGAAATCAAGATTTTCCAAAATAGGTACTTTTGTATTTTAGTTGGGAGGTCCTGAAAGTTCTGTTTTAAGTTTGTTATTTAATACCTAATGTGCCCAATGGCCAGCAGAAGGATCACATACAAAACTCCCCAAACAATGGACACAGCTGCCCATGTGACTGGCCTAGGGGAAGATACCAGCAGCAGAGTGGGTGTGAAGGATCTGTGTGTGTGTGTGTGTGTGTGTGTGTGTGTGTGTGTGTGTGTGATAGATAGAGACAGAGACAAAGAGACAGAGACAAAGAAACAGACAAAGAAACAGAGACAAAGAAAGAGAGAGAGACAGACAGACAGACAGATAGACAGACAGAGAAGGGAATGAACCCAGGAATCACTGGTCTACATCCCCAGTAAAATATTCTTACAATTTTGAGACAAGGTCTTGCTGAGTTGACCAGGCTGGCCTTGATCACCTACTGCAGTTTCCAGAGTTGCTGGGACTCCAGAGCCAGGGCCACTGGAGGCAGCTAACCTCGAGTGGAGCCTGGGACCCAGCCCCTGGCCTCCCCATGCTCCTGCCTCCTGGCTGTGGAGAAGCACCTGTGTTCTGCCACTCATGGCTGCCTGAATGGCCAAGGCCAACTGAGCAGAACCTTTCACCTGAGCCAAAACAATCCTCATTGTTGCCTGCTGTCTCTCTTTGGTCCTGAGAACTGAACCCAGGACCACCCTGAGCTGCATCTCCAGCCCTTGTTCTTTGAATTTTGAGGTAGGGTCTTGCTAGGTCACTGAGTTGTGCAAGCTGGCCTCAAACTTGCAATCCTCTTGCCTCGGCCTCCTGGAGTGCTGAGATTATAGACCTGTGCCACCTTGCTCGGCTTAACTTCTCTCTTTTTCTGCCAATTATCTCAGCTGTGTGAGCAGGAACAAACATAGAAGCTAGGTGGGGTCTGCAGCACCTTACCGAGGTGGGGGAGGGGCTGGAGAACCCTGAGAGAGGCCGCAATGGGCCTCTCCCTGGCTCTGCTCCACTTCTCCTGTCCTCTGCGTTACCCTGGGGCCCTGGAGATGCATGCTCCGCCCACCCGCACCCCTGCAGGTGAGTGCTGCACCCTGGCCTGACCTCCCGGTGCCCTCCGCCTACCTGGATGGGGTGATGGGGGTGAGGTCCTTCCCCATGGTCTGGATCACTCTCCTGCCCCAGACCCAGAGACCTGTGCAGATTCCAACTCCTCCATAGAAGAGCAGCCAGACTGGTGTGGCTGCTTCCTGCATGACTGCACCCTGCTCGTAAATCAGCCACAGAGCTACCAGGGGCCCGATGGCATTGCTGGAAAGAAAAAGACCGGTCACACACATCCCCACTACCTGGCCACCACACAGCATCTTTAGCCCTGGGACCATTTTACTGCAGTCAGGAGCAAAGCTCAGCATTTAAGTGTCTTAGCCCTTTTTCCTGGTACGGCTTGGTAGTGTTAACATCTTTATGCTGCTGTGGAGAAGGTTGCAGAACTTTTTCATCTGGAATCTGAACCTCTGTACTCGATGGCCACCTCCCCGAGGCCCTCCTGGCCTCCCCTCTGTCTTTTGCCTGGTACCTTGGCCTCCTTCAGATGGCTCAGGCGGGAGAATCAGAAGCACTGTCTGTCTGTGCTCAGCACGATGAGCACTTTAGGTGAATCAGGGATGTGGCGTGGCCCAGAGTTTCCTTCCTTTTTGAAAAGCTAGCTGCATGCCATTGTGTAACCCTTCCCCACGTCTGTTATTCATCTTCACTGTACCCCGCTGTTGCAGTCTCTGGCATAAGGACAGCCGCCCCCACCATGGTGGATACAGAGTTTTTGAGACCCTGCTTTTAGCCCTTTGGAATGGGTGTGCAGGAGGACGGCTGGAGCAAATGGTACTTATGGTTTTCATTTCTGAGGACCCTCCACATTATCTTCCACAGTGGTCAGTGTTTTGCGTTCCCACCCACAGTGCACAGGATTCCAATTCTTCGAGTCCGAGCCAGCATTTTCAACAGACACCAACTAAATGGGTTTGTTATTTATTAATTCAGTCAAAAGTCCTGGAAAAGTCACAGAAATAACCCAGCAAGTTCTAGCTCTCTCATTTTCCTCTCCAGTCTGCAGTCCTTCTATGACTGCTGCTGCTCTGGTTAGGGTGGGCTCTGCAGGGTGGGCTCTGTCACTCCACCTGCCCAGGGATCCTAACCAGGGCGGCAGCCATCATAGGGGAGCCCTGAGTGTCTCTCCGCTGCAGCTGGGGACCTGGGCAGCTGGAGCCCTGCTGTCACACCGATGGTCTGAGTGCCATACCCTCACCCCACACAGCGGTGAAGGGGAAGCAGGGTGTGGCACAGCGGGCCAGGAAGGAGCAGAGTCAATCAGAGGATCCGAGTGCTGAGCCACACCACTCACGAGATCCTGCTCACGGGCTCTGAAAGACGCAGATGAAAAGGACAGATGTCAGCAGGAGCTGCCACAGCGACTGCACGGCAGCCCGCTCTACTTTTCCAGACCAGGGTGCACTTCTGTGTTTGCTCTGCTCTCTTGTTCGGCCCAAGTTTGCTCTGCAGGGCTGGTTTCTCCCTTACCTCGTTACTCCTCACTTTTCAAATCAAGTTCTGGCACTGTTTTTGGCTCATCTCATCTGATTCCTGTTCAAGGCAAGAAGGACCTGGAATGTTCTGCTGGCAAGCCACTCCTAAAGGGACCACACGACAGCAGTGTGTGCTCAGTAAACATTTGCCGACTGAGTGAGCGGCTGGATGTTAAACATTTTGCTTGCAATTTTGAGAGTCACTTTTAGTAACAAGTCAAAAGCCTATAAATGAATAGACTTAGAGGGGCACCAGTATCAGCTTCTAGCTTGATGGATGCTGTCAGCTTCCACAAAGTCCTTAGCACTCCCCACCACTTCCCATAGTCCTGCCACAGCACTTCCCATAGCCCAGGGCCTGGCCTGGACACCCCAGTTCTCCTCTTGCAGCTTCCACTCCTGGGTCTCCTGCCCGCGCCACCCTCCGTGTGCCTTGCACACCTGCCTGGCCTCCTTGTGAGTGTGGCCCACAGTGGCTGCAGCCCTTGGACTCCACAGGGCTCTGGGCGTGGGCTTGAGCCACCTTGCCGGGCGCAGCCAGCTCCTTCTTGAGCAGCAAAACAGCAGACAAGCCTGCTGCTTCAGTGCTTCCACACTCAGCCAATCTGTCCCAAATCCGGGGGCCCAGCGCCATGGCCCCTCCCAAGGTCACGTGTCATGCCTCTTCTTGGACAGCTTCCGTGGGCTCCTAATGGGTCCCCCATAGAGTCCAACGGGCTATTAAGCTCTGAAGCACTCGCTCTTCCCAGTGTGATGCTCCCACTCCATGTCTATGTGGTGCTGCCTGGACTGGTCCCAGCTTCTGCCCTTGAGTGCCCGTCCTGCCTTAGCCTCTGGCCCAGGGCTTGCGGGTGCGAGCACTGTTCCGCTGATACAAATGTCCTTCCTGTGTCCGCCTGGCCATGTGCACTGCAGGCCTTGGGGACCTGCAGCCTGCATGGGCTCTGCCTCCTCCCTTGGGTGTCTTGTTCTTCTCAGTGACCCAGGCCTGTGCTGCCCTGGCCTTCCCCCCGAGGTCCCTCTTTCCGCCATACTCTGGGCTCAGGTCCTCACCACTCCCGACCCGCTCAGCACACCCTGCCCTCGCCTGCCTCTCATGTCCTCTGTGGCCTTTCCAGCTGCCCAGTGTATGGCATGTGTGTCACCAACTGTGCCCACTCCAGGAGCATCTGTCCTGGCACCCACCAGCCCCTGCTTCACACTCATTGAACCCATGAGCCTCCTCACCTCACGTCATTGCCACCATGAGCAAAGGACCCGAAGCAGGCAGTGAGGACCTGCAGGAAGTGGAACAGGAGGTGGACCTCAGCTGCGTCCTTCTCTTCCTTTTCCTCCTCTGCAGGATCCTCTTGAGGCAGGGCCGGATCTGTGAGCTCAGATGCCAGCTTCATTTCCACGCCACCCTCCTCTGCTTCAATCTCTGCTTCTGCCACTGCATTACAGTAGCTGGAGTAGCTGTCATAGCGCAGTCTCTTCTTAGAGTAGGACACGGTGTCCCCCACCAGCTTCTCACTGTCCTCGGGGGCCGTGGACACATCGGCGGCCTTGAAGGTGGCATGGACGGGCAGGCCACAAATGGCCGCGGTGTAGCAGGTATAGCTGTTGTTGCGCCTCAGTAGCCGGTAGCTGCTCTCCTGGGCCGGTTTCTCCTCAGAGCCCCTGTCTATGTGGATTTTGTGCAGCAAGTCTTTGTAGAGTCCCGAGTCCTTGTGTACTGTGTGGTACACATGGCCGTCACTCCTCGTGTGGCCATCAAAGCCAAAGGTGCCGTTGGAGACTGGGGACTTAGCAGAGCTGTGAGTCATAGACAGTGCCCGTCCTGAAAAGCAGTTTGCAAAGTCATGTTACTGCCCAAGGTGCTAACAGAAAACATGTTGGAGGGAAATTTCACTACCATTCCATGGCTCTGAGCCCCACAGGTGATTTAAATTTTTTCTATATACTTATTTCCTAAATTAAATAAATAAAGGACATGCCAGAAACTTAAAACTGACCAATCAGTCCACCCACAGAAACAACCAAGGGGTGGAACTAGTAATACAGCATGGCAGAATGCTGTTTACAGTCTGCTGTGAGGCAGCTTCCAGAAAGCATGACTGCATTCCTGCCCATTTCTAGATGTCAATCCAGGCAATCCAGGGTGATGCTTTCAGGAATTTATTTTAGCAAAACCTGCCATGAGGCAAAACCCTATGCAGAAGAGAAAGAGAGATGCTGGTGTATCTCAACAGGTCATTTGGGACCATTAGGGGATACTCCTCGGAGCCAGGGCAGAATCGGTCTGCTGGTCTGGAGGCTGGGGCGTGGCTTGGTGACAGGGTGCACACTGATGGTGCACAGCTCTGGGACTGGGAAAAAAGCCCCAAACACCAGTTTGCTTACTTTTGCAGAGTACAAGTCTACACCTAGGGATGACAGGGGCCAGGGCCTCTCCTCGAAGTCCCGGTGGCAAGAGGCTGAGGATGGCCCACGGTGAGAGATTCTCCTGCCCTCCAGCTTCAGCATTCTCCTCAGGTCTCCCCTGGGGAAGGCAGCCCTGAGCCAAGAGAACTGATCTCCAATAACTCCACAGCCCCTGTGGAGTAGGGGATGCTGCCCGCATTACGTGGCAAAAACCACAAGACAAGAGGGAACCTGCTCAGGTGACAATAGCATGGCTTCCTGAGGCCTCTGCCACATCCAGGTTTCCAGGCAACAGAGAGTATACCTGGGTCACATGAGGCTCTGGCTCAACCCCCAGCACCATAAAGACACAAGACAAAATGGGGGACCAAGGCATGTCCCCTCCTGAGAAATGTCTCCCGCCATGCATAAACCCTGCTGTCCAAGTGGGCCATACCGTAGGTGGCCCGGGGGTGGCTCCCTGTGGAGGGGCCCTCTGCGGCCCCTGACGTCTCTCCAGGTGGCCCTGTGAGAGGGACAGTGCTGTCGTCCTCGCTGGTCCTGGTGCCTGGCAGCTCCGTGAAGACAGGGGACTCTACCTCCTGGACTTTACCGAGGCTTTCGTCAGAGGTTCGTGATAAAGCACCTTCTTTTTGTAATTTTCCTGGAGAAGAAAGAGGAGTAGGGGCACATTTTGGAAGAATACTAGTATTACTGGAAAATGACTGCCAATCGGAAGGGAATGTATCTCTTCACACTTTAATACTTACCTTGGGAACAGAAAAAGTTACACTGAAAAAAGAAACGGGCATTTAGGGCTTAAGATACCACATCCAAAGACATCAGGAAAGTGGGTAATATCGGTCACTCCCAAGATGAGTCACCCGCCCTCCCACGTGTCTGGACACTCACTAGGTGGGTCCAGCAGGAGAAGGCACTGCTGCCCATACCAGCCAGCTCCCCAGGAGGTCTGTTTGGCTTTCGGTCAGTCCCATTGGTCTCGAAGGTTCACAGTGCATCTCTTTCTACTGTTTTTGTTATCTGAAGTATAAACTGGTGACCCAGGGCATGGACGGGCCACAGAGCTGCCCTGCCTGCACTTGAACCGTGGCCCCGCACCTGCTATGAGACCTTGGGCCAGTGACTTAAATCACTATGCCTCAGTTTGCTCATCAACAAAATGGAGCAAGTAACAGCAATACCTTGGATAAAAATCAAGGTTCTGTCATTGTTATAATCTCTAGAAGTATTTTCTCTTCTCATCTAGATTTTAAACCACTTGAGAATCAGAGATTTTTATGCACAGTTTTTGTATTGTATATATATCATAACAGAAATTTAATTAAAAAATCACTGGTAGACATAGATAGTAGGGATTATTTGTGAAAATACCTGAAGAATTTAGTTTATTTCATTTTGGTGCTACAGGTAAGAGCTTAGAAATTTGTTCAGAATAATTTTCAAGCAGCATGATAAATCAGCAGAATGTTATATCACATTTTAAAAGAACATTATTGAATTTTAAAATAACTTTTTAAAAATCCCTTGTTTTATTTTGTTTGGTTTAGTTTTTAAGAAGTCATCCTCCTGCCTCTCTGCCTCCCATGTAAAGTAGAATCCAGGAGTGTACCATCACCTGGCTGTGTGAGTGTTTTCATTCATTCATCTATCTGTATCTATTTATAATCTGTCTGCTTCATCCAATCCAGAGATGTTCTACCACTAAACTGAACATATGCCTTTTTACTTTTTATTCTGAGACAGGGTCTCACTGAGCTGTTGGGGTGCAGTCCATCTACCTTGCCCATCCAGGTAGCCAGGGATAGGGGTATGTGCCACTGTGCTTGGTCTCTTGCTTCTTTTTAAAGCAGAGAATTTTTTAAACTTTAAAAAGTTTCCCTTTTCCTTCTGAGGAAAGCATTTACTTTTTTCATAAAAGTTGGTGTGATAAAGAAATCTGAGACTACTACTGTGCTGAGCAGAATAATACCCATGAAGACTGATCAAGGTTAAGTACTTCAGTGACCTGAGGTCACCATAAGGCAGGATGCAGTCTAAGTGACATGGACAGCCACAGCGCCTTCTCCTGCTAGGACTTACAGTCTGTATCTGGGAAGCAAAGAATCCCACCCTGACATTCAGGTTAGTTAACTGAAAAAGTGTCTGGTTCAGTCTGTCACCCTATGGGGTGTACAGACACACAGGGGAGGGGAGGTGACCCATCTTGGGCCAAGCTGCATGAACTTGGTGGGTAGCACTGAGCAGGAGCAGGAAGCAGCTTCATAAGAGAGAAAAAAGAAGCTGGTTTTAAATCCCTTAGCAATGTGGCCTTGCCATTATGCACTAAAGTGGATTTTTAACCTCATTATTTTTAAATTGACATGCCATAAACTGACTTTGTATGAGTTTTCAAACCGGCTCAGGTCTGCATCAGCACCAGCATGGTCAGGCTAGAGAAGGGAACTGTAACTCCCAGAGTGGCCCACAGTTAAGCTTTACCAGTGCCACCATGACACTCACGATCCTGGGCACGGTCTCTGTGGCGCTGGCCTTTTCAGTCACTGAAATGCAGCCCTAAGGTCTGTAACACTGGCGTGAGATACCTCTGTGACTCAGCCCAACTCCAATATCCACTACGCTGCTGTGGAGAGAGATGTTGCATCCTGTGCCCTGCTGCATCCTTCAGGTGATGAAACAGGGGCCCCAGCCACTAAGGGTAGGGGAGACACCTGGGGTGCAGCCTCTGCCCACACAGTCGGTGGGGGGGCCTCACTCACCACTTCATGTTTCTTATCTGGGAAAAGTCAGTTATCTGAAATGGTTTATTTATTTTGGTGAATTTTCTTTATTGGTCAATAAAAGAAGCTTCTTAGAATGAGGTTTCTCAAAGCAAAAGTTTCTACTTTTGCTAAGGTTCAATTTATCAATCTCTTCTACAGATCATGGTTTCAGTGTCATGTCTGGAAGCTCTCTGCTTAACCTAAGGTCTCAAAACTTTCCCCTTCTTTTTTCTTCAAAGTCTTACTGTTTTTTATTTTATACTTGGACCTATGAAATATTTTGAGTTAAGGTCTAAGGTTTATGCCAAGGTTCTGGTTCCGGTGTCTGGCTGTACATGTGTAGAACAGCTGCCTAGAAAGCAGTTTGCTGGGCAGAACACCTTGCTCTGTGGAACTGCCTCTGTGCCTCTGCTGCAAGTCTATGTGCCATGCATAGCTCATTTCTAGACTCTCTTCAGTTCCATCGTCTGTGTGCCTGTCCCTTCACCAATGACACTGTCCTACAGCATTATAGTATATCTTACATTAGGAATGGCTCTTCCAACTTATCCTTTTTCAAAAGTATTTTGGGTATACTCACTCCTTTGGGCTATCTATGCAAATTTTTAAAGCAGCTTGGCTAGGTCTACAAAACACCCTGCTGCAATTTCTATTTCAATTATATTAAGGCCACAGACCAACTTGAGAACAATCAACAACTTTACTATATTGAGACTTTTTTTTTTTTTGTCTTTTTCCTTTTTATCGGTACCGGGGATTGAACTCACGACTGCCTGCTTGCAAGGCAGGTGCTTATGCCGCTGAGCTAAATCCCCAGCCCCAATATTGAGACTTTTAATTTATGTGCATGTTATATCTCCTCACTTATTCTGGTCTTCTTTGAAACACATTTTTCAAATTGAGATCTGGCCATATTGAAACACAACGACAAAGCACAATTGGAGGCCACATTTAAATATTCCTCTTTTTTTGTGTGTGTGTAAACCCCATAAAAATCTGTGGCTTCAAAGCTTGGAATTCAACTGTGTTGCTGGGAATAGCAAAATAGCCCTGGTGGACCCTACTGTCCTTTCCTTCCTTTCTGTTGCTCTCCATTCCTTCCTCCTCACTCTTTCTCCATTTCATTTCATTTCATTTGATTTATTTCATTTCATTTCATTTCTCTCTCTGGTGCTACTTACTAAACCCAGGGCCCTGCACCTTTCAAATGTTAGGCAAGGGCTAAGCACCCAGCTCAGCTATAGTTTTTTGCTTTATAAAAATTGCCTATTTTATAGTAAAATTTATAATTTTTTTTTTTGGTACTAGGAATTGAACTCATGACTCAGGGCTTGCCAAGCAGGTGCTTGCCACTAAGCCGTCTCCCTGGCCTGTAGTATAATTTGTATATGACAAAGCTCATATACTTTAAATGGAAAATCTATGACAAATCAGCATACTCCACAGCCACTTCCCTGTTAGGGCCACATCCATTCCCCTGTCCCTGAAAAGTTCATCTGTCTCCTTCAGTTTCCTCTGTACCCCATATACCCTGAGCAGCCAGTGATATCCATCACTGCCAATCACTTTGCTCTGTCCTTGAATTTTATGGAAACTTCTATAAAATTTTGGAACCTGGAATCACACACTGGTCACTCTCGTGTCCAGCTCCTCTTGTTCTATGGGACATCATGAGACTCACTTTGGAGCTGTGCCTGCTTCAGCCCTGAGCGGTCTCTTGGCACACATATGTTGCACTGTGGCTGTCTTTTCGGTGAACACCTGAGTTGCTTCCAGTTTTCTGGCTATTACAACTGAAAGACTTATGGGGTACTTTTTTTGTTTTGTTTTCCCTTTTCCCTTTACAGACCACATCTCACTATGCAGCCCAGTTGGCCGGGAACTTGTGATCTTCCTGCTGCAACCTGCTATGTGCATCACCACATCTGGCTCATGGCTAAGGCTTTATGAATGTGCATCTTCACTTCTCTTGGATGAATGCCTAGGAGTGGAAGTCTTGGGTCATGTGGTAAGTGTATGGTTAACTTCACAGGAACTGCTAACTAACTTTCTAAGTGGTCATGCTATTTTATAGTTCACTCTAACATGAGACTTTCACAACTTCACCAACACTTGGAACTGGTTTCCAGGCTCTGCCCTTCCTGGGGGTGTGATAGGACACCGTACTGCAGCAATCTGTATTTCCTTGAGATCACTTTCCCACCAGGTTGGCAGAACTGGCCACACAGTAACCTCTATAGTTACCCACGGCAATGAAGATCTTCCTGTTCACATGGGTCACAGGTTACCCAGAAAAGCCAGGAGGCACAGGGCGGGGTGAAGGCCCGGGCATGTTTTGAAGTGTCCACACTATCACCACCTGCTCCTCAGGATTTGTGCCTGTTATGTGGAAGCTCAGAAACCAAGAGCACATCTGTGACTGAAAAGAAGGAAAGGTCCTTACCTGCTATTTTCCTCCGCATCCATGGACAGACAAAGAGCCACACGAAAAAGGCGAAGAGCAGAGCGATGCCAAATGAAATGAGCGCGATGGCCCACATTGGGAGCACCAGGCCCAGCACTGGGGACGAAGATGGACAGCAATGTCACTGTGGGTGGTGAGGCACCTGGATTTTGTCTTTAATGAAGCGCTTGACCAAACCAGACTAAGACATTAGGTTAGGAAGCTCTGCTTACGACGCACTACACCTTGTGAACCTGTGCTTACCCTGGCTGGTAACCTAACTGCTACCCTGCTGCCGACGCACATTGATGGCACAGGGGCTGCGAGTACAGCCACCCGCCGCAGATGTGGCCACACCTGCACCACTGCATAGCACATGGCTACACAGGGTCCACGCCTCCACCCTAAGGCACTAGCTCAAGGATGCTGCACTTGTAAACATCAGCCTAGAAATAAAAGTCTACTCAGAAGATACTGACCTTCAAACATAACTTCTCTGAAACATCACATTATGGAATTACAACATAAAAAACTTTCCAATAAGATGCAATAATGATCCCAGTGGCCCGTTAAAGGGCAGAAGCACCACAGCTCAGCAGCGTCGCCTTCCTGTGTGCTGCTGCCCCCGAGCTGACTGCTCTCAGTGTTGCCCATCTGCATAACTGGGGCACAGGCACCATTCAGACACTCACAGATGCACAGCTCATACTCATGCCTGACACACACCTCGAGCACACTGTCACAGGAGGACCTGTAATGGCAAGGATCTGCAGAACAACTTGTGTGTACAGCATTACGGAAGCGTAAAATAATCACAGTGCAGTCATACAAACAAGGCAGGTCTGAGTGTACCTGCAGGTAAAGAGGACCAAAGTCCAGTAAGTGACAAAGCCTGGCTATATGAGTACCCACAGCATGATCCAGCTTATGTTAAAAAACAAACAAAGAAACAAAAAAACCAAAAAACAAGAAAAACCCTTCCTCACTATGGATTAATACAGCAGTTTCTTCTATGGAGAGCTGAGAAACTGGCATAAGGTTCTATTTCTTATTGCATACACAAGGGGTGATCCAAATGTAAAGTGAATGCTTAAATTTCGAAATCTAAGACACATTGCTGTTAATCCCTCTTGCCCTTCCCCCCCAAACACACTTATCCCATCATTCCTGCCACTTCCCAAAGGAGCTCTGGCAGTTCTCCCTCCTTCATTAGTTCCTTTTTTGTTTTTTGGTACCAGAATCGCAATCAGGACCTCGCACTTGCCAGGCAGCCCTACGCTGCTGACCTACATCGTTGGTCCCTTCATTGGTGTCTTAATAAGGTGTGATTAAAAAATACAGTGAATTCTTCTGCCAAGTGCTATCCAATGCAAGGACAGGCTCTAAGACAACCAACACAGTGAGGAAATGATTTATAGGATGGAAAAAATTTTTGCTAGGTAGTCCTCAGAGACAGGACTCATATCTAGAATATATAAAGAACTCAAAAAAAAATCAGACCCCCAAATGAAAAACTGAATCAACAAATGGGCAAGTGAAGAGGACAGATACTTCACCAAAGAAGAACAAGTGGCCAAGAGCTACAGTCAATACTGCTGGCCACTAGAGAAACGGGAAGGAAAACAACACCAAGATTTCATCTTTCCCCAGAAAAAATGCCCATCATCAAGAAATCAAATAATAACAAATGCTGGTGAAGCTGTGGAGAAAAAGGAACTTCTACATTGTTAGTGAGAATGTAAACTAGTACAACCACAATGGAAATCAGAATGGGAGAGTCCTCAAAAAAACTAAAACTACGAATTCTATTCGACCTAGCTATTCTCCTTGTAGGTATCTTCCCCCAAATCCCTCTTCCCTCTAAATCTCAGAAGCAGCCTGTATATCTATCAACAGAAGAATGGAGAAAGAAAATGTGATATTTACACACAACAGAGTACTACTCTGCCTAAACAAAGATAAACCTGAGTCATCTGTAGGAAAATGGATGCACCTTGAGACCATCATGTTAAGTGAAATAAATGAGACACACAAGTTTAAACATCACACGGTATATCTTATATGAGAAACCCAAAGTATAAATAAAGAGCAAAATAAAAGATACAAAGCTGAAGTAGAGATGGCTCTTTCTCACAGGAGAAGGGGATCCAGAGATGGAGGGGAGAGGGACAGCGGAAAAGGAATCAAGATGTGTTGTGTACCTAACCAGGCCTACCAGGAAATAAGACATTACATACTATATGCGTGCACTAACACCACGATGGCACGTCCTTGCCGTCTCCCGGGGTGATCTGGTCCCGAGCCAAGTGGTGTGATCAACCCGGGACAGAAAGCATCCATCATAGTCAACCACAGACACCAGATATCACATTCTGGCTATACAACTACTTTTAAACTGGTAACTAAAAAGTCTATTAAAAAGTCATTTTTGAGAATTATTTTCTTTAAAGGAGTAAGCTACTGAAGCTTGGATTTTAAACAAAATGTTAGTGATGCAGGCTTTGTGACCTTGTTAACTATTTCATACAAATAAGCCAACTCAAACTTACTCAATTAAGATTTCATTCAACATTTTTTTGTTCAACGTTTTGATAACTGTCAAAGGTTACAAAATAGTAGTTAATACTGTAAATGGTGAGTCAGAATTCATGTATATTAAGAACAAAAAGTCAGAGGTACACAGGTGGCTGAGTAGCTCTCGCTCCACCCACAAATGTGGGTGGCACAGGTGGCCAGGTCTCTGCACTGCTCCAGGCTGCACCGCATTCAGCTCAGCCCCTCCTCCCCTTCCCATCCCAGCTCCAGCTCTGCCCTGGGCCTGAAGCCTGGAGCTGCTCTGGAAGCCCACAGGCCCAATCCCCATCCTGGTCTGTGGCCACAGCTTCCTGGTTTTTATCTGCTTGGCAGTATCTTCACACACAGGACAAAGGGTCACACTGCAAAGCTATTTCTTGTCCAACTGAGGGAAAACTGTTCATTAGCAACATCAAGCTGAAAACTAACTCCATGACCATCGCTCTGGAAGCTTCAAAGCTTCAGGGCTTTGAAGAGGTTTTCCCTTCGGTGGTTTACCGAGGATAGACTGTGAAGTGTGCTACTTGTGGTCTCACTGTGCTGACCGATGCTGCCCTGATCCAAGATCTGCATAACGATCTGAAATATATGTTTTTTTCTTTAAAATGAAGTTAGGTGAGGTGGTGCATGCCTGCAATTCCAGTTAGCTGAAGAGGAGGAGACAAGAAGATCACAAGTTCAAGGTGCATCTGGGCAGTTCAGTGAGACCTTATCTCAAAATAAAAAGGGCTAGAGATGTAGCTGTGTGGTCCAGCACTTCCAACAAAGACACTCCCCGGATTCAACCTAGTACAACAAACACACTAACAAAACCCCATGAAATAACAATAAAATGAGTGAACAATTTTCATTATCTGATCTTTTCTAGCCAGGTCAACCATGGCCGCAAACGAAAGCTTTCTGTGCTTCCTCCAAGCCTACCTCTACACTCCCTTTTGGGACATTTGGGGTTCCAGATTATGTCGAGACCAACAGCCAAAAGGATTAACTTAACTGGGGTCACATTCAGGACTCTGGACTGGACCATAAGACTGAACTGCCTGCCCTTTGTACTTTACATCCTGTCTGCCATTGCTATTGATTTGACCTATAAGTCTTGGTCAGAAAACTCCAGGGTCATGGCCTGCATCAAAAGAAACCAGCTGAGCAGGCAGGGGACAGATGCACCTCTGAAGGTGTAAGCAATGGGGAGATGCAGTGAAAACTTGGGCACCAGGCAAAGAGGAAGATCACTTTGTAATAAGAGGAGAGATGGAACAGGACAGCAATCTCACCACATTATATTCCACCAGTGTAATACGCACAAGGAATTACTTTTAAAATCTGTTAACTGAGAGTTATTTATGTATACAGCTCCAAACCACATTAACTATATAAAAAATTAAGCTGCATAGATAAAAACTAATTAAGTATAAGAATTCAGCCTAGAAAAGCACCTGAATCAACATACACTCAATGCATAACTTTTTTCTTTTAAAAACGTAAGGTTGACTTACAGACCACAAAATCCATGACAAAATACTTTGTACTGGACTGTCTTTCTGCTGAGATCTCAAATTGTTTCCAAATAACTACACCTTCTGAGGGCAGAGAGGCAAGGCACATGGACCACAAAGCAGGGCACGGCTGGAACTGCTGGCATCCACACAGCCGAGGTGGGTGCCGGGAGCGACAGATCAGCTCTCACTCTGCCACCGCATGGCCTTTCACCCCGTGCTCCTTCCATGGCTGAACAACAAAGACACGATGGACAGTGATTTAGTGCTGACCTCAAGCATCTTAATAAGCATATTCCACATCCCCCAAAGATCAGAATGATAGCCAAGCCATTCAGGGAAGAAACGAAACCTCCTTCTCCACAGTCCGCTCTTTGCTATGCTTCATTATCAGACACAGAACCACTGTTAGCACAATGGAGAAAACTTAGGTGTGAAATCAGTAAAATCCTAGCCTACATCAGTCCCTGTCCATCCCTGTTAAGGAGCCCTTCCAGGGAGCCCCCCTTCCTTCTCAGTGACTCACTGTGCAAATTTCGCTTTTTAATGTTACACTTAATACACACTTAAAAAACAGCAGCACTGGCAAAGACACCTAGGTGCACACACAGAGTTTCCTGTCACGTTCCCCTTTTGAACCCACCTCCCAGGGGAAAGTGGGGAGATTCTGTGCAGAGGTTTTCAGGACATTTGAATACACATTGTGGCTGCCTGCGATGGTATCTGGTTCCTTTTTTAACATAGGCAGAAGGACACTATATGCACTACCCCATGCCTTCACTCATCAAGTGGACATCTCCTGCAGTGATACACAGGCGTGTGTGGTCTTTTTTTGTTTTGCTGCAAGCCAACATTTCAAGACACTGATGGTGCTACTTAGGTAGAAGCAATGTGGGAGTAACTCTTTAAGAGAATAAAGTATGCTTTTGAAATAAAATATGCTGTGTTCTCATTTTCAGTTAACTACCACCTTCAGGCCTGTAGCCAGCCCAAGTAAGCAGGTTATTTCCTAAGTTACTGTTAGCTCTTGTTAATCAATTTTTAGGATAAAAATGCAAAGATGATTTTTTAAAAAGTCAAGTACAAGATTTTCATCTATGTCAGACACAAAGTAAAACAAATCAAACTAATGCTAAGATCTAAGCAACCTCATTATGCACCTGGACAAGTAGAGACAGCCTGTCCAAGGGAACAGCACCTATGCTGCAGAATTTGGGCTCCTCTACTGGGTGTTCTAGAAATATCCCCCCAGGAACCAAAATATGAACAAAGTGCTTTGATGACTTACTGGAAGAATGAATAATTGCTCCTTCAGTAACAATCACAAAACTTCAAATAAGAAGTTTTCCACACAAGAATAGGTGGGAGAAATAGATCAGATGGCACAAGGTTTGCTGTTGATAGGCAGCTGAAAACACAGGGCTAACAGTGACCAATGTGACACAACTGTCTCCACCACACAGGTACAGTGTGCAGGTGTCACCTGCACCATCCCAGGACACAATTCCTGTCAGCAGAGGTGTCCTGCTGTCCCATTCTGTCACACAGTGTGGGACTGAGGGTGCTGACAGCAGTCACACTTCCATCAGGAGAGCTGCTCGCTGTGGGTGACATGGAACCATCTCTGGGACTCGGGACACTGCTGAGCAACCACTGAGGGATGATCTTACAGATTCCTAACTAAGAAGGTGGCTGCCCCTTCACACTAACCAGAGTATTAAACACATATGAAATATGCACAGCTTGGTACCTAAGTGCATTGTTGGTATCTTTAAAGATAGTTAAGAGAGAATTTGTGAAGGTCAATGCATTGTCTCTTGTCCGTACTGGTCACATGATGGACATAACAGGAGCCACACTGAATGCTTTCTTAAGCTGTCTCACAATGGACTAGGTTGCTCACTTCAAATTCTGGTTGTGTATGTTCCCACTTACAGGAGCTAACACTGCTGTTTGCTACCTGTGCAGGGGGCTGGCAATGTTACCAACCTCCTCGAAGAGCTGAGAGATGTGTGGGTTCCTTCGTGTAGCATTCAGCTTCAGTGCACCTGTAGCATTATTCCCGCCACAACCCAGGATGTGTGTACATTGTTCTCAGTGTCTCATCCACTATTAAGTTTAATTTTCCCTAGAACAGTGTACACACCTCTTAAGATGGCTCTTTCAGCTAATGTGCAATAAAACTGCAGCACAGTCAAGGGCTCTGACATTTGGAAGAACACAAGGAAGCAAGACACCCTGCTAGAAAAAAAAAAAAACCTCAAATCCTAAATGCTTGCAAAAAGAGCAAAAGCCACCAGAATAGGATGAAAAGAGTAACTGTGAAAGGAAGATCATCACTGGATGCAATACAAAGCCCAGGAATTCCACCTCCCTACTGAGGCCCTTTCTTGATTCTGGAGTGAGCAACACATACACAGACTGCTCAGTCACTGCTGTACTTACTTACACCTGCATAGTACCAAGCATGGTCATAGGCCTCTCATGCATTCTCGGTGGGTGTTGCTGGCCGTTGTGTGTGTGCATGTGTGTTGGCCTAGGAGGCGTGTGCTGGCCTGGTGTGTGTTGACCTGGGTAGTGTACACTGGTCTGGGGTTTGTGTCTGTGTGTGTGTGTGTGTGTGTGTGTGTGTGTGTGTGTGTGCATGTATGTGCTGGCCTAGGGGGTGTATGCTGGCCTGGAGTGTGTGTGTTGGCCAGGGGGGTGGTATATGCTGGCCTGGGGTTTGTGTATGTGTGTGTGTATGCACGCGTGCATGCACACATGCTGGCCCTGGGGTGTGGTGTATGCTGGCCCAGGGTGTGTGTGTGTGTGTGTGTGTGTGCTGGCCCAGGGGTGTGAGTTCTGAGACTCAGTGGTTGACTTCTATTTTAAGGCAACTCAGCAGGATTTGTAGCACAAGGGGATTTAAATTTTTTAAATTTACTTTTAAAAAATTATTTTTTAATTTCAAAGACTATTGCCTTTGTGCCTCACATATACCATGAGTATTTAAAACAAACCAATAAATACTAACTGTTTTACTACTTAGTAACGACCATGAGTAATGCTTTCCATTATCAGCAAACAACACCAGCTCCAAACAAATTGAGGGAGTCAGGAACATGTGCCTTTCCCCATGGGTTTCAGCTTCCATGGAATTCTTACCTGGTGCTCCTGTGTACATGATGGAAAAGACGTTTATTGCTATGGTGGCAGCATAGAACAGTGGAAGTGCCCGGAGGCCATTGGGAACAGGGTCCTCCTGTGTAACAATGACATGAAGTGTGAGGTTAGGGCTCTGAGCCTATGTCCTGAAACAGCATGATGACACAAGACACTTCTAGAAAGTTTCCCAAGTCCCACTGCAGCAAAAAGGTGGTTGTGCCGAGTCCCAAAAGCTGCTTCAATGTATGCAAAGGGCCGGGCCAGGGCATTTCTCTGCATGGCACAGTGTTTGAGGGCCACTGCTGAGCAGCGGGCTCACTAAAGCCTGGTATCACATGAGCTGACGTCAGGGACAGAAACAGAAGGGGACTGTGAGGGAGCTCAGCAACCTGTGCAGCTTTCTACTCTGAGTGCATGCCTGTCCAGGAGCATCTACATGGATAGATACTTGGGAGGCCAAATTCTGAGGATCCTCTAAGACAGCCCACATCTTAGCTACACTGAATATATTAAGCATATATATATATATATATATATATATATATATATATATATTTTTTTTTTTTTTTTTTGGTCTTTTTGAGACAGTCTCACTATGCAGCTCAGGCTGGCCTTGAGCTCACTTTGTAACCCAGGCTGGTCTCAAACTTGAAAGGATCCTCCTGCCTCAACCTTCCGAGTGCTGGGATTACAGGCGTGAGCCACCACGCCCAGCTCTATATTTTTTCTGTATGCTAAGATTTTTCAAATTATTTTGTAATGCATATGTAATGTATTTTGAACCTTCAGCTATTGAAAGTTAGAATTGTGGGTTATTTGTGTTGAAAAAAACAAAAGCCATCAGGAAGAAAAGAGTAACTACACTTTTGTCTAATCTGAAGGTAGTCTTGAGTTTATTTTTCAAGGCAGTTATCTTGTCTTCTGCGGTGCTGGGGATCCAATGCTTGGTATCCTACATGTCAGGCAAGTGCCACTCATCTGCACCGTGGCCTCAGACAACCTACTCTGGCAATTCACATGACACACTTCTCACTGCAACCTCTCTCTGGGTCATTCCTGTTTCACTCCTTCTTGCCTATCAGTCACAGCCTGTCACACACCTGAGCCGCTGTCACTGACCAATAGGATGGTGGTGAGTGGTGAGTACCAGAATGAACAGAATGTCTATCGAGGACGGCAAACAGGCAAAGCAGTGAGGCATGAAGCACTGCACAAAGTGGCAAATGTAGGAGGAGACAGCAGTGCGCCGGGGGAAGAAGGCAGGACATCGTGGGGTCAGAGTGGGCAGGCTCCCAGGCGGGAGCAGGGAAGGCTGAGTGTGAGGGCACCAGGTAAGAAGGGGTTGAAGGCAGAGGAACTAGGCAGGGTGGCGGCTTCTGAGATGCAAATGGATGTCTCCATGGCTGCTTGGAGCCCAGGAGAGAGCATGACAAGAAATGATGACGGCAAGCCCTTCAGTGGACTCTGGGGTGATGCTAAGAGCAGAGCTGGATTTTCAGGCCCAGAATGCTAGATGTGCTAAGTGTTCACTTAGCAGCCCTAGGAACAGGTGTTCAAGTGTCTCCAGATGCTGGGTGTGCCCGATCCCCCGTATGTACTATGTTTTTCCTCTGCATACACATGCAGGATAAGTTTATCAGTTAGGGACACTACGAGGTTAATAGCAATAGCTAACTAAAATTCCACGAATGTGGTGTCTCTCTCAAAGTATCTCATTCACTCCACCCTCTTTGCTTGTGGTAATGATGTAACACAATACCACGGCGATCTGTGAGGTGGACGATGCAGGCACTGTGAACAGCACTGGGAACAGCACTACGTTAAGTGAAAGCAGCCAGGCACAGTAAGTCAAGAACTGTATGTTTTCCCTCATTTGTAAAAGCTAAGAATTTTGATCAAACAGAAGTAAGAAGTAGGGAGAGGCAGAGGGTGGATGGATAGTGGGTATCAAAACATAGTTAGGTGAGGAAACATCTGCTATAGTTTGAATCCTGAATGTCCCCTGAGTCTCCAGTTCTGGCACTAATGGGAGGTGGGGAACTTTAAGGAGTAGGGGTCTCTAGCAGGAAGTTGGGTCTCGGGGGCAGCCCTTGCTTCTCAGTCCCTAGAGGTAAACACACCTTCTCCACTACACTCTCTCTACAATGCTGCTTTCACAGGCTCAGCCAAATGGGGCCATGTGACCATGGACCGAAACCTCTGAAACCATGAGCCAACATACAGCTTTTCTCCTCTATATTGCTTATTTTTAGGTACTTTGTGTGGTGACATAAAGCAAACATATAGTTCTAACGTTATATAACATAATAGGGCAAATAAGGACATCATGGTTCAGTATTCATTTCAAAACAGAAAAGTGTTGAGGTTTCTAATACATAGATAGGGTGATATCTGAGAAGATGGAAATCATTACCCACTGCATACATGTATCAAAACAAAACACTGCACCCCATAAACAAGCACAAATATTATGTGCCGATTTTAAAAATTACGTTAGCATACTTAGTCAGGACCTTGTGCTTGTCAGGCAGGCACTTCGCTACTGAGCTACATGCCCAGCCCAAGTTACAATACATTTTAAAAAGAAACATATATTGCAACTGCCATTGACAGTCAAAAAACAAATGACACTAGTTTTTTTCCCCATACATTGATCTCAGTAAGTTCTAATTTTAATCTTATTTCTTTTTAGACAAAATGCACCCTGGTACAGGTATATTTCCTTCTTTGTATGTTTCCCTCAAAATCAATGTTCTAGTTTTTTTCTCTATTGAAAAAAACATAAAATTCCTTTACTTTTGGGTAAGAAACACCTCCAGCTATCTTTAATGACAACTGACTTCAGAACCTAACAGTATTTCATTCCATTCTGTTCAATATTTAGGAAAAAATTACCCACCCTTGGCAGGGCTTGGTGGCACAAGTGCCTGCCTGGCAAGCGTGAGGTCATGAGTTCAATCCCCAGTACCCACTCCCTAAAAAAATGACCGTCCTTATTGAAGCTGAGCATAGTTACTAGGAGTGCTGACTGATGAACTGAAACACAGAGCCAGCAGCACCGCTGGAGGTGTGGGCTCTGATGAGACTTGGGGCACTTCACACAGGCACCCCTGGCGACTCACAGGAACAACTGACTTCAGTCAGGTGCTATGACTTTCGAGTCCAAGGTGCCAGGCCTTAGCCACACAAAGGCAGTTCTCCTTCCACCTCTCCCACTGTGAATCCCTATCAGGAGAACTAAAGACAGTTCTAAAATGTAATAGGAAACAGCAGCCTCACTTACCTTTTTTAAGATGAACATTCTGATCAGTATAAACAGCACGCCAGACATGAAACCAGACAACAGTGGAGATATAAACCAAGAAGCAACTGAATAATTAAAAAAAATCTGGTGAATGTTAAATTCGTACATAACTGAGGTTGTACTTACAATTTACATAACAGTGATAACATTGCTAGATATAACAGATATTTGCCTCTCCACAGCTTGCTCTGCCAGGAGACGAGTCTAGGCCTTTCAGGTTGTCCTGCATATGCCTGCCTCCTTCTGTGCTTCCCCACCACCAGCCCAGGAGGCAGATTTGTTGACTTCCCACAGGGCCTATCTGACTCTGCAGAGACCTAGCACCTACTCAGACTGGCAGGTCAATCAGAAGGTGGGTCACTCTTGCTCCACAGACCAGTCTGGTACTGACACTGCAGGCACCTCACTGAGGGAGCGCTCTGCCTTTGACTTTGTGCCTGATGGGGCTAACACTGGGTCACTCAGGTAGTTTTCACAAATCAGCTACACATGGAGCTCTACCCTCAGAATCCCGTAAGTTGATATGGTCCTGAATGAGGTCTGGGCATTGGTTTGTAAGTTGCACCCCAGGGACTTCTAAGGTGCTGCTGGAGCTGAGAGCCAGTGTCCTGGGAGCCTGGGATGTCAGCTGGTTTTCTTGATGGTCTGTGACCTGCTAGGCAAGTCAGGGATGTAGTCTGACCTACAGCTCCCAATGCACACCCATGTTTATTTACAGCAGCAAAATGCATTACAGTTAAATCATAGAAGAGGCCTGAACATCCACCAGCAGATGAATGGAAAACAAAGATGTGGTGCTTGCACACAGTGGAATGTTGCTCTGTCATAAGCAAGGTTAAACTTGAGTCATTTGTTAGCAATGGTTCTGGTAAAAGAATGAACAATACAGGGGACAGAGGTGGGGCAAAAGAGCATGGGTTCATATGTGCAAGCCTCTTGCTACAAGGAGATCCAGAAGTCCGCAGTTATAACACTGGGACTGGGGATTAGCCTATGTCTTGGACCCTGCTGAGCAGCCCACACCCAGAAGGAACCCTAGAGAGCTTCTTCCTAGGCAGCTGTGGGGTAAACAGCCCTGGCCTCCTTTTATACTTCCTCAGGACCATAGCTATAGACTTTTGATTCAAGGTACTTGCCTTGGGCCTAGTCTTTAGGCTGATTTCAATCAAATACATTTCTCTTCTGCTTTCAGTATCAAATAGATACTGATTTTCAATGCTGAATGATGATGTAAAATTTTAAAAGTGGTCTTAAAAAAGGTAAAGTGCATTACCCGTACCACAGAGGGCTTCGATTTATGTTAAGATTTATTAACATACAAAGGAAGAAAACACATTATAAAAGTAACTTTTTGTAAAACTTACTCTAGTAAAGGTAAATTTTCCTTCTTATAGGTAAAAGAAAATGGCAATTACCAATCTTGACCAGCTCCATCCACTGCACACCTTTCGTGCCAATTGCAACAAGTGAGAATCCTATGGTGGAGCCAACAATGCAGTGAGTGCCTGAGATCGGAAGTCTCAGAAAGGATGCGATCAGCTGCCACACAGCTGAACCTGCAGGGTGAAAGATTAAAAAATCAGACATGCAGCAGAGTTATAAGCTACTACGGGGAAAAAAATCTAAATTGTTATTCCCCACAACAACATTTCCCTGAGCTCATTTTCCATGGGTTGTTTCTTTACAATGTGTAAAAGTTCTAACTAAAAACATTTGACCCAGCTATTCCTCTTCTAGGTGTCTTCCCAAGAGTTAAAGACCTATTACAGAGATCCATGCATACCCATAGTGATAGCATCACAACTCATAATACTTATATCTTGGAAGCAGCCTGCAAGTCCATCAACAGACGAATGAAAAAGGAAAGCATGATAGTTCTACACAATAGAGTACTACTCTGACATAAAGAAGGATAAACTTGAGTCATTTGTAGGAAAATGACTGCATCTTGAAATCATAATGTTAAGTGAAGTAAATCAGACACACAAATACTGTATGGATTATCTTACATGAGAAACTCAAGTGTATAAACAAAATTCAAAATAAGATGGATAATAGGAAAAAAGAGAAAATGTATTGTAATCCAGCACAAATAACATATCTAAAAATGTACCATGATTTAGTATAACTATCTTATATGTTTTATATGTTTTTTGACCTACTAGTCTGGTTGTTAACCTATATGTATGATAATTAACTTAGTAAAGACTTATAAATAATAAGAAGCTGGCAAAAAAAGGTGGTGGGAAGGAGGAAACAAAGACTCGTGATGTGTTTTTGAATATGCACTGATTCTCACAATGAACACAGTCACCATGCACAGCAGAGCAGGGGCTGCTGTCCTGTCTTCCACATGGCAGGAGTCTCCCGGCACCTGCTGTTAAGGTTAATCACCTTTGTCACACAATAGGGAGAAGCTGATGAACCTGTTCTGATGTGAAGTTTGGCCAAAACCAAGTGGGGATTAAAGATCCACTAACACAGAAAGAAAAAGTCAACATTTTGAAGGAAAGTATTAAAGTTATGCCTTCCGGTACAGAATGGGAGCACCACAGATCAGCCAGTTGATTTGTGCCACTTAAAAGTAACTGTGGTACTGAACTCAGAGTTGCAGATCTACCCTCAATCTTGCTCAGTATGTCAGGAGCCCTCATTTTGCTTTGTCTCTTTACTCCTATCCACCACTCTTTCTAGGCTACAGTTCACAGTGGTTATTTTCATAAGCAGATCAGATTTTGCAGTGAGTATTAAAAGCATCAGCTGAGACAGATCACTTTCAGAAGCAGTTGCTGAAAAGCTTGTACAGAACTGTATGGGAACAAAGGGCTTGGCTGATAAGCTGGGCACATTATTAATCCTAAATGTTAATTCTGGAAACCTGGTTGCATGGCAGCAGCAGCACTGTGCAGCAGACCTCTGGCACCTCCTTCAAAGATGTCTGAGTCCTGTAGAGGTCACTTAGGGCTGCACTGGTCCCAGTGTGAGGCGACTGCTCCTCAGTGAGGGTGGGTTATGGCAGCCTTTGAGCCAAGGGTGATGGTGACTCTGTGTCCACTCCCGCGGCCTGTGCTACTAACCAGGACTAGGCACCCAGGCAGAGCCCGCTTTCCCAGGCAGAATTACCTGGGCTTCACAGCTGAGCACTGGACACCACGGGGCTTGACTGCTCTAAAAATAAAATCAGAGTCTGGAGCTCATTTTATAGCCCAGAAAAGGAACTTTCTGCTTTAACATTCTTACACAAATCAAATAGTCTCCAGATGTAGGTGAATGGTACAAACTCACTCTGGTGCTTTCATCTAGGAGACTGTTCCTCCTGGAAGGTGCTGTCCCTTCTCGGGCTGGCTCTGTAAAATACGTCCCAGACAAGGACAGAGTGGAGGGGGAGGTGGGGAGTGTGGGCACTCCCTGTGCAGGGACAAAGCAAACAGCAAGGGGGACGTGGGAAAGAGGGAAAGGACAGCTGAGGTGGGTAGCGGGAGGCAGGGGTTCCTGGAGGCCTGGGAGCAGACAAGAGGCCCCCTCAACTCCGAACTGCTGACTAAATGGGTTACACTCACTTAGCGAAGGTGGGGAAAGAGATGTTTCAGTTAAGATACTGGTATTCTACAGAGAGGAAAGGGATTGGCTAAGATGGGGTAAGGATATGAGACAGCACCTAGGAGGACCTGGAGGATGGCATCCTGGAGGCAGCAGGTTCAGTGGATCACAGTGGAGGTGGTGGGAAGGGCAGGGGTGCAGTGGGAGGCAGGCTTGGTGAGCAGCGGCTACAGGGGCTCAGCTGTAGGTCGCTGAGCAGGGTCAGGGCCTTGGCCCTTTTGGGTGGTTTGAGGAGATGGCTTGTTCATGTTGGCATGGGGCTTTCCACAAAAAGAAGCTGAGCTTTCAGTTCTCAGGAGGGTTTTGGAACCAGTGATGGTTTCATTCCAAGCACACTGACTAATGGTTTAGAGTTCAGCAAAAGATAACTGGTTCAAGAGGCTCAGCCAGCATGGACAGCATCTTCTACCAACAACTTAACTCTGCCAGCAGCCATGGGGAAGCACGGAGGTCCGTGGGCTTGGGGAAAGGTTACTGAGGACAAAAGAGAAAACGGAATAAAAGAGTACAGAGTAAGAGGAGAGAGAGGGAGGAGAAAAAATGGAAGTAGAGTTTAGAAGAGGAAGACTGGGAGAGTTCAGGCATCTGAACAGAATTAGCTTTGGTTTTGGCCAATAATAATGCTATCACCATCTTAAATTTACATAGCTATTTTCAAGGAATTCTAGGTAACTTATAAAATTCCAAACAAAACAGGCTTTGGGATTCATCTAACCTCATACCAAAAAAAAAAAAAAAAAAAAAAAAAAAAAAAATCAAACAACCATGTTATTCAAGCAAAACCTCAAATTGCTTTGGTAAACCCAAATTCTAGTTGAGGTAAGTATCTTTTGTTCTTTCAGTAAAGAGCCAAAAGCCATGGGTGGGAAAACTGAACAACTGGACAAGTCGTATTGACCATATGAAAAGTTAGAAGTGAAAATTATAAAGTTCACTAAGCTTTCTGTCTAGCCAAAGTCCTGAGTAACAAAACTAATAAGCACAATCATTTCTGGGAAGTTTTACCCAACAAGATGAAAAATTTCAGGGAAGATTGAAGTTTGCTATTTCTTTATTTCTTCTGTACTTTCAATATATCTTGCCCATACCACAATGATGAGAAAAATTCAAATTTCATGTTGATATGATTTTATATTAGATATTGAGAATGAATTTTACAAGCAGTGGTTACATTCTTGGGAGAATTTTGTATTCTATCTGGGAAATATATGTTCAGTGAAAGTAAGTAAACAATCATGACAGTAGTAGGAATGAAAGTGACCTTGAACATTACCAGACTACTGTGCTTAGAAATACTGAACACTTTAGTATAGCAGTCTGCTTCCCATTGGATCTTTCAATGACAACTCTAACTTACTGTCACAGGATTGTGGGTTGCCTTTTGTTTGGCAAATAATCTCCACGGTTTGGGCACTGAAGGAATGCTAGTGACACCATAAATAACTAGGGACCCGTGGAGTGTGTCTGTGTTCTGGGTACACCAACATCTTACCTCCTACTGCAGGACTCTTCCTACAAAAGGATATGTCCTGTTGGAAGCAGAAGGTGGTAGAATTCCTCTCTAACCCTCTTCTCCCTAACCAAATTACCCGTAAAGATCAGCTGTCTGCTGTGACGTCATCTCTACCTAGAGGCAAGCAGAGAGAGAGTCCTGTCAGCTGCACTCTGCTCATTCCTGCCTGGACGCTGTCTTGCCACTGTTAGTGAGGGCAGTAAGCGAAATGTCCCCATAGTGCACTGAGTCTGTAAGAGGTCAAACTGTCCAACCAGCCAACCTGCTGATTCACACATTTCCGTTCACCTCCATTCTTTTCTCCTTCCAAGCAGCAGAAAACTACCAATAAAAGTTGAACTACTCACAGGTAACATACAATTTTTTTTTTGGCCAGACCAAAAAAAAAAACCACATATGAAACAAAGCTTCTAGAGAGAGAGCATCAGAAAATCAAAGCCAAAGCCAAAGAATTGCAAACAACACAGAAGACCAAAATTCCTTGAAACATAAGCACTTCATTAAGATTCGTTTGGTAATAGTTCTAGAAATTAAATGGAGGACAAAAAAGGTAAATTCGTAAGTAATTGAATAATGAACCCAGAGCCATGTGCACGCTAACTAAGCATGCATTCTGCAACTAAGAATGCTCTGATTCCAGTAAATATCATTTTGTTTTATTTTGTTTGGAGCACTAGGGATCAAACTTAGGACCTGGAGCAGCTAGGCAGGTACTCTACCATTAAGCCACACCTACTAGCTCCATAATTTCAAAACACTGTACCTTTACGTCTTGTAAAAGATGTAAATCAACTTTCTGAAATAGTTTTTAACCTTAAACCAGTCAAGAGTTCTTCCATGAGTATCTTTTTCTGCACTTTGGAGCAGTATTGACTTAGCCAAAATCTACTCTGACCACCAAGATTGCTAGAATTTGAAAAAAGTTTGCTTGATATTTAAAATCTTAAAAATCATAAAATATACAAAGCAAAAATCAAATAATAAATATGAAACACTCAACCGGTTTTTTAAAAGTGAACACAAAAATCACATTCCTAGATATGGCAAAGCAATTGGGAAGCAAGTCTGTGACACCCCTCTCCGTGTGTAGAGAGGAAAGCTACTCACCAACCATTGCGCTGACTTCCCCGGCCATCAGCGTCTCCACAGTCTCATTGTACAGGTTCACGTCAATGATACCTTTCCGTATAGTCTCTCCTACTTTGGCTCCCAACAGAACAGAGCCGGTGGTTTCAAATATTGAAGCCAAAATGCATGCCTGTCTCAAGGTTACCACACCAGAGCCCACGGCAGTACCAAACGAATTGGCCACGTCATTTGCACCAACAGAAAATGCCAAGATGAAAGCTATAATAAAACCCAAAATGACCATCCACAAATATTCCTCCATGGCCATTTTGGAAAACAGGCCCCAGGTACTTTTCTTTTGTAGAATATTTTGAATAAACAAAGCTTGGGGTTATAAGCTTCGTAAGGTTGAGAGTTCTTGTAAACAGTGAACTTGCTCTGGAAAGTGCTGGACAGTGTTAGCGCCTGAACAAACTGCTAACTGCTGGTTTTCAAATTACTGTCAGGACAGTTCATTTGGTTGTGTTCAGTCAGCGGTAAAACACATTCCATATTTTTTCTCCCAATCTGGGAAAGCTGTGATGTCTCCTCCTGTAACAAGAAAACAAAAGAAATCAATTACCCTGAGCAACCTGTAACAGTTTGTTCTTTCAGAAATGAATGTTTTAAGCCTGCTAATGGGCTCTTACTTTGGCATGTGACAGATCTAACCCTAAAGCAATTCATGAAGATTGTAATTAGGCTACCCCCCCAACCAAAAAATAAAACCTGAAAAACAAAGCTGGCCTCTAGATTGAGAGTGGTTGACTCATGCTTAATAATTACAGACTGACAGTAAGACTCACTTTGGTGAAATTTTATGCAATTTGAAAGACATGTTAGGTCACCAGTGAGAAAGGAGCAGCTGTCTCAAATGAGTGAAAGATCAAGAAATGAGATGGTAAAGTTCCACAGTTTTTCAAATATGAGGACTCTCCTGGTTTCTGATAACCAAGTCTGACTGAGGGTGAAACAAGGACTCCTGTCAGGAGTAATCCCTGTGGCGGAGACACAGGCAGCAGCTCTGGCGCTAAGGTCGCTCATGCAGGATGGTGAAGGTGAGACGTGAAGGGCCTTAAGAGAAGAGATGGAGCAGCCCCGTTAGGGCAGAGATACACAGTACTGTGGAGGAAGAGCTCAGAGCCTCAGGGCCAGCAGCTTAGCAGCCCACTGAGCTCGGCTCCTGACAACCCTTGCTACACACACTGTGACCTCAGGGACTTCTGGAACTGAGGGCTCCTCTGCCAGGAAAACCTTCCGGACAGCTGCACTGCTCACTTCTCACTCCATTCAGGTCTCTGCTCAGATGTCACTGGCACAGGGGGCCCTCCCTGACCTTGGAAAGGAGTGCCCTCCCCCAGGCTGTTCAGCATCCCTTTAGGCCACCAGTTTTCTTGTACTTATCACCTGGCTCACTCAATTCATTCATTCATTCATTCATTCATTATTGTTCAACTGTACACTCCTACTAGAATGCAGAAACTTTCATCCACTGTTGACTTCTACTATGTAGACCACTTTCCAGTATGGAGTAAGCCCTCATCAGTCTGTTGAGTAGATAAAGAAAAATGCTACTGAACAAATGGAGAGAAGTCTTGCTTATTCATTCTTCCGGGAAGGACAGAAGATGCCACAAAATATAACTGTACTGTAAGAATGTCACCAAAATCTTTGTAAGTATGGTAGTTGTTACTAGACAGCCCAGTACTAAACCAGGGTGTGTTCTCCTGTGCTGTCACTGAGTAGAGTATGCCTCACCCTGTGTATTTCTCCACAAATGCTAGCTGAACTGAGCTGACAAATGACGCTCCTTTAATGTATCATATTCAATATAACGCTTTGATCAATCAACAGCAAGGTATTTAGGAAAAAGTGGGTCACAAAATTTTACACACATTGTGATTATGGCAATGTTAACAAAGCACATAAAAAAGACCAAAAGGAATCTGGGGCCATAGATCAGTGGTATGCAACTTGTCTAGCATGTAATGGACCCTGGGTAAAATACCCAACACTGAAAAAACAAGCAAGCAAAAGAGCAAGTAAGTAAACAAACAAAAAAAAATCACTAACAACCCAAATTTAGAACTTAATATATTAACTGTAACAGAGGTTGAGTTTAAGTGGTGCGACAATTTTTTCCTTTCTTCTCAAAACTGTATACTATTGTTATATGCTTTTTAAATGAAAATAATAATAAAAAGTCAACAAACATTTTGAGTGCCATGTATACATGCAATGTTATAGACAAACAACCATATAAAATGCACACTATAGACCTTATCATTTTCCAAGATTTGTAGCCTTTGGAATTTTGGAGATTCAGATGCTAAGTGGAGCAAAGAAAAAGACCACTCTAAAGGTAAAGATAATATTCCACCTATGATGGACACATTAAATCTATTCATGAAAATTAGAATACAAATATTTTGGGCTAAAGTTACTTAAAAATATAAACAAATTCGTGATGAAATCTTGTTTGCTAGGCCAGGCTGCCAACAGGACAAACAGGAACCTCCTTTGTGCCAGTCACTGGCAATATAATAATGAGTGGAAGTGGTGTGGGCATGTTACAGCTGGGGCTGACAGGAAACAAGTGCCAATCAAATGACTGTGCAAGAGTCGGCTCCATGCTGGTAAAAAGTGTTAAAGAGATGGTGAGACGGTGTCATACAATGTATGTCAGGAGAGCACAGACTGGACCTTGACCTCATCTATGAGCACAAGACAGGCTTCCCTGAGCCTAAGGCTGATGGGATTGAACCCTGAACCTAGAGGAGGCACTGTGCTGTGCAGATCTCAGGGTGGAAGTGGAAAAGACTGAGGGCCACGAGAGATGCCATAATGAAGACTGGGAACCCTGAAAGCCCAGGGTCCCCCATGAACAATACAGTACCAGTGAAAAGTCAGAGAGAGGCACTGATACAGTAGGACTCAGCATTCTTAAAAGATCATTCTGGCTGCAGTGTGGAGAGGACTACATGGAAGGCAAGTATGCAAGTGGGGATGAGACTGATCCTGGACCAGAGAGGTGATGAAAGCAGATGAAGACAAAAAACGACTTCAGAGGTGGTGAAATTCAATGGGATGAGATGACAGTTGTTATATGGGGCTGAGAGAGGATAGGACTTATGATATGGATTTAGGAAACCAGAATAAAAAATATCAAAACAGGCTCATTCTCTCTTTTGAGTTGCCCGCAGTTTTGCAGGTTTGACCACAGGTTCTCTTCTGAACACGCTGCACTTAGTGGTAAATCACACGGATGGGAGAGCAGAGCAACTGGGAGGTGTGTACCACAGTGGCTGTCCCTTCAGCCAGATTTGCCTTGGAGTCATTAGTCACCCTTCTGCTGCCTTTGGCACTTTCAGTTCAGAGACTCCCTTTCCTACCTAGGCAGTCTTACACTTATTTCCACAGTTGTGTCTAGGCTCTTTAATATGGCCTTTCGCCTTTGCATCTGACCTTAGGTTGGTGACGGTGAACCTTTTAGAACTTTCAATGAAAACGAACAGCCCACTGTACTGCACTAGCACAGGCCTGGTAAGCATTGGTTTGTGGAGAAAGGCTTGCCAGTTTTTGCAACCTAAATGATTGCTGTCTTTTTCTCAAATGTACAATATATTAAGGTCTATCTTTTAAACAATATTTAATTTCCTCCCTTTCCATTAATTTTTATCAAAATAAAACAGAATGCTTAAATAATAATGCAATTTGCAACACGAAAAAAGACACTACTGAAATGGATCACTTGCCAGGCCAGAGGGTGTCATACACAAGGCCAAAAGATTAATCTACCATAAATATAGAAAGCCAAATACAGAGTGGCTGAGGTCTGCTCCGATCTGATCAAAGAGAGTGCTGATTGTTCGAAAGTTAGATTTAAAAAATTTTTTTATTTTTATTTTATTTTATTTTTTTTTGTACCGGGGATCAAACTCATGACCAAGCGTTTGCAAGGGAGGCGCTTATGCCACTAAACTAAATCCTTGGCTGAAAGTTAGATTTTAAAGGATTATACAATCAGTCAGTGGAGAAACAAATTCATTTAATAAATGTTGTTTAGGGGGCTGGGGATTTAGCTCAGCGGCATAAGTACCTGCCTTGTAAACAGGCAGTCATGAGTTCGATCCCCAGTACCGATAAAAAAAAAAAAGGTGAAAAAAAAAAATGTTGTTTAGACAACACATCAGTAATTGTCTGTCAGTAAAAAGACATCATATTCCTACCTCACACCAGAATAAAAATTCAAATGTAGGAAGAAAAAAAAATGAGAGAAACAAAAAAGAAAGGAGAAATACAAGTAAGTATTCTCTTCACATATTGGGCTGGGGAAGCCTAGACATGACATAAAGGCAGTTAATGAAGGGAACCAACACGTGAGAGTCCACACCATTCATGCTGATAAGATACAGAGGTCTCGGGTAAGGGAGCAGCTTGTGGAAATGCCAGCTCTCTCCCACAGTAATGACTCTAACAAGGAAGCAGTGCACAGAATTTCCGGCAAATGCCTTGATCCTTTCTAATTTCCCTACGTGGGCTTTTCTGAGAAATGTCAACATTACTGCATCGAAACAGGAAGGAAGGCTAGGACAAACTTAACTCTTTTTGCTACTCTGAAAGCCTCCTATATATGGCTGTGACTCAAAGGAATGAGTGCTACCAGATATTCTTCAAGTTTTCAATGCTGCAGACTCCTTGAATTGAGGGATCTCAGAGTGTTTTCAATTCTGGAGAGTTCCATGTCCAAACCTGCAACACTTTAACAAGACCTCCCCCTCCACACCTCCCCTAGCCAGCACCAGGCAGTACTTCAGGTTCTAAACTGGACTCTCGCCTTTGGGTCAGCCTCACTGCACACCGCCCCTCCTCTGCAGCTGCTCCTCTGCTTTTGCTAGGGCTAGGAAGGGTCCCCACAGCACTCCACTATTTCCACTTATGTATCTGTTTGTTTTGTGGTACTGGGCATCAAACCCAGGGCCTGTGCATGCCAGATAGGAGCTCTGCCACTGAGCTCACCCACAGCAAATTCGCTCTTCCTAAGTTCTTCCATGTGCATCAGCTCAACTCTGCCTAATATCCTCTTACCATACTAGAAATGTGAATTTCAGAGTAAAAGCAAAAACATTCTCAGAACATTTCTAGAAATATTTAACATACTGTTCAGAAGGATGGATGCTGCTGAACTGTGGCCCCGACACATTCATCCAGAATGAAGTTTGGGTAGGAGGGAGCCTGCTTTGGGACGCGGACAGAGGTAACATCAAGAGCACTGGTAGTTCTAAAGCCTGGACCTCAGTCAGCTCCTGGTTGCTGCCTTTGCTCCTGTGATTTCACCCACTGCACACAAACCACACCTGCCCTCCAAGGTAAGTACCAGGTTCTGAAGTACTTTTCTTATTTCCTCCCTTAAAGCTCATAAGCCCCACCCCCACCTCCAGTTTGGAATTCTGAATTCTGACCCTTAGGGAAAAATAAGAACGCACAGATACCTATTTGGCAGTGTGGTATAGTTTGACAACTACAGTTCATTGGTGCCTTGGCCTCAGACG